GGGGGGGGGGGGGGGGGGGCTTTCAGGGTTTTAAAGGTCTTTAAGGCCCTTTTTTTGGTTTTGGGCTCAGGGTTTAGGAGTTGATTGTGGTCTTAGGGCTTTAGGGTGTGGGGCCAAGGCCCCTTTTTTGGGGCTTTCAGGGGTTTAGGGGCTTAGGTTTTACGGTTTTAGGGCTTTGGGCTTAGGAGTTTAGATTTTAGGGTTTTCGGGGTTTAGGTTGTGGCGTTTTTGGGGTTTAGGTCCCCGAAGGGATCTTTCAAGGGATCTACAGGAGATAGACCTATATTGAATCCTCTAGGGTTCATGTTTAGCATAGACTCAAGAAGGTATCCCCCTGAGAAATCATGCATGGCCCCTGGTGGAAAGATGGCAAAGTCGCCTGAAATAATCGAGGGGCTTCGCCATTACGTTAACAGGGTTTTGGGGTGCATGACAGCACCCTAAACCCTAAACCCTACTTATACCAAAACCATAAGGGATTGTTATTTGGAAATCAGTCCGACCCCTTTTTCTTGAGCAGGGTGCTCCAGCTAGGGCTACAGTGTCGGGTGCTACTGCGGTTCTAGAGGACTTTAGCGTTTAATGTTTTAGGATTCTTGTGGGCATGCTCCTTGGGAATGAACATGAGTGTCTCATCAGAGCAGGAAGCACTTGTGCCCTACACCTTCCGGTTAGCAGAGAACGACTAGAACAAGGCTCGAGGGGGGCAGCGCAGATCCCGAGTGTGCACTTGGGGAATGGTGAAGCGTCTTGATCTGGAAAGGTTGTGGTGCGCTAGGAGCATTTGTCATGGGAACGTACAGGGACGACGTGTGCGTTTTTTCAGTATGCATAAATCGAGCAGTGTCTTGCTGGGTCGCGCAGCATAGAGGCAATGTCTCCTGCCGCAGAGTGCCCTCAAGCGTGCCGGGAGTGCAGAAGGCTGTTGCCATGATCCGTCGCAGTGAATCCGGCAATGTTCACCTGGGAGCGTGGGTTGTGGACACCGTACCCGGCCCACCTGGGTACAAACGACATCGAGTAACTACACGTGGCATGTCGTATATCGCTCCTCCTCCTCTTCCTCCTCCTCCTCCTCCTCCTCCCGCCTGCTGCTGCCCGTCACCATCACCATCATCTCGTCGGCATCATCATCATCACCACCACCGAGGATTTTGGAGGGGAGACAGGTGATTGTGTAACAAGGAGGCAGAATTCGCAGAGGTTTTTGCTGTGGTGCGAAGCCCACAACTGCAGAAATTGAGCAAGCTGACGACCGTCTCCGTGTGCTCACTAAGTAAGCTGAAACCCCATATCTCTGCCTTGTTCTCTTCCTTGTGATGACCCTTCAAACCCCCCGAAACCCATCCGTTCAAACCCGGGACTCCCAGGCCTCTGCAAGTGCCTTGTCAGGGTTTAGGGTTTAGGGTTTAGGGGTTTAGGGTTTAGGGGT